TTAATCATTGTAAATCTATAATTTGCCTTAGAGACGATTTATCTGAAATATTGCCGATAAGACTGTAAATTTTAACTCACTTACTAACATATCGAACATCACACATCACACATCAACCATCACACATCACGCTTAACACATCACGCATTCCACCTAACCCATCACACGTCATCCATCACCTATCAACCATTACATCACCACAGAACATCAATAATCACACATTAGGCATCAATCATCACGCATCAACCATAACACATCACACATCAACAATCACACATCAACCGTCACACATCACACATCAACTATCGTACATCACGCATCAACCATCACACATCACACATCAACCATCAACCATCACACATCAACCATCATGTGTTCTTTTACTGTCCTTCATTGACAGATGTTGATAATTTTCTTTTAATCATTGTAAATCTATAATTTGCCTTAGAGACGATTTATCTGAAATATTGCCGATAAGACTGTACATTTTAACTCACTCAATAACACATCGAACATCATACATCAACCATCACACATCACGCATAACACATCACGCATTCCACCTAACCCGTCACACATGTGTGATGTGTGATGGTTGATGCGTGATGTATGATAGTTGATGTGAGATGTGTGACGGTTGATGTGTGATTGTTGATGTGTGATGTGTTATGGTTGATGCGTGATGATTGATGCCTAATGTGTGATGGTTGATGTTCTGTGGTGATGTAATGGTTGATAGGTGATGGATGACGTGTGATGGGTTAGGTGGGATGAGTGATGTGTGATGTTTGATGTGGGATGTGTGATGGTTGATGTCTTATGAGTGGTGGGTGATGCGGAATGTGTGATGTGTGATATATGATGTGCGATGTGTGATGGTTGATGTGAGATGTGTGATGGTGGATGCGTGATGATGGGCGGTGGGTGATTTGTGATGTGATGAGTGATTTATTATGATGGGTGATGTGGGTTGTGTGATTTGTGATGTGCGATTTGCGTCGGGCGGTGGGTGATGTGTGATGTGAGATTTTTGATGTGTGATGGTGGATAGGGGATGTGTGATGGTTGATGTGTGATAGGTGGTATGTGATAAGTGGTGGGTGATGGTGGATGCGTGATGTGTGAAGGATGATGTGTTACGGGTGAGGGATGATGTGTGATGAGCGGTGGGTTATTTGTCATGTGTGATGTGTGATGGTTAATGTGGGATGTGTGATGGTTGATGGTGATGTGTGATGTGTTATGGGCGATGCGTGATGGGTGATGGGTTATGGGTGGTGGGCGATGCGTGATTTGTGATTTGTGATTGGTGGTGTGTGATACGTTTTGGGTGATGTGTGATGTAGAATGGGTGATATATGATGTGTGATGTGTGATGGTTAATGTGTAACCTGTGATGTATGATGGGTGATGGATAATGTGCGATGAGCGGTGGGTGATTTGTGAAGTGTGATGTGTGATGGTTGATGTGGTATGTGTGATGTGTGATGTGTTATGGACGATGAGTGATGTGTGATGGGTAATGGGTTTTTGGTGATGGGCTATGCGTGATTGGTGATGTGTGATTGGTGGTGTGATACGTGATGTGTCATGTGTGATGTGGAATGGGTGATATATGATGTGATATATGATGTGTAACAAAAATGATGATGACGACGTAAGGGATGATGTGTGATGAGCGGCGGGTGATTTGTCCTGTGTGATGTGTGATGGTTAATGTGGGATGTGTGATGGTTGACGGGTGATGTGTGATGTGTTATAAGGCGATGCGTGAAGGGTGATGGGTGCTGGGTTATGGGTGATGGGTGATGGGTGATGCGTGATTGGTGGTGTGTGATACGTGATGTGAGATGTGTGATGTATAATGGGTGATGTATGATGTGTGATATGTGATGTTGATGTAATGTGATGTGATGGGTGATGGATAATGTGTGATGAGCGGTGGGTGATTTGTGATGTGTGATGGTTGAAGTGGGATGTGTGATGGTTGATGTGGTATGTGTGATGTGTGATGTGTTATAGGCGATGAGTGATGTGTGATATGTGATGCGTGATGTTTGACGAGTTAAGTGTAATGCGTGATGTGTTAAGCGTGATGTGTGATGGTTGATGTGTGATGTTCGATATGTCAGTGAGTGAGTTAAAATGTACAGTCTTATCGGCAATATTTCAGATAAATCGTCTCTAAGGCAAATTATAGATTTACAATGATTAAAGGTAAATTATAAACATCTGTCAATGAAGGACAGTAAAAGAACACACGATGGTTGATTTGTGATGGTTGATGTGTGATGTTTGAAGTGGGATGTGTGATGGTTGATGTGTGATGAGCGGTGGGTGATTTGTGATGTGTGATATGCGGTGGGTGATATGTGATGGGTGTTGGGTTATAAGGGGTGGGTGATGCGGGATGTGTGATGTGTGATATATGATGTGTGATGTGTGATGGTGGATGTGTGATGTGTGATGTTTGATGGTGGATGTGTGGTGGTGGATGTGTGATGTGTGATGGGTGATGTGGGTGGTGTGATGTGTGTTGTGTGATGGGCGTTGGGTGATTTGGTGATGTGATATGTGATTGGTGATGCGTGATGGTTGATGCGATGCGATGGCTGATGCGCTGCAGTGATGGCTGCCAAGGATCGGTGATGGGTGGTGGCGATCAGATGCGATGAGCGATCTAGATGCAAGATGATCGAGATGGCACGGGATGTATTATCGCGATGCATCGACGGTACCATGATGGGCGATCAAGATGCGACGTGACGGGCGAACATGACGCACGGCGCATAGCGATCAGATATACGATGCGACGCGAATGCGCTAACTGGATGTCAGGACGGTGCCGTGCGATGCGACGGATGCAGGACCGGCGATGACGCGACGATCGCAGACGGCGCCATGATCTGGTGATGATCAGGCATGCGATATGGTGGGTGATGATGCGATGCGATATATGATGTTATGGCGAATGCGATGCGAATTGATGCGATCTGGCTGATGGATGATGCGATGATATGATCTATCGACTCCATGATGCGCGATGATGATTATCACTGTGGGATGCGGACGGCTGATGGCGACGCGACGCCATGGGCGATGCGATCATGATCATAAATGGACGATAATGATCATAAATGTGATGGGTGGTGCGTGATGGTAAGGATGCGCATGAATGGCGATATACGATGCGATGCGATGGTGACGTGTTACGTGATGGGTGATGGCGCTGGATGATGCGATGGGCGATGGACAATGCGACGATCCAGAACGATGGCTGACGTGGAACTGATGGCAGATGAGGATGTGATGGTGACGGATGCGGACAGGTGGATATGGATGGATGGAGGAAGAAGACCCTGACAGCACACAGCCCGACCCGACCCCAACGGAACCACACATGATGACCCATCCGTGACCGAGAAAAACACAGCCCATGGCACGACCGAACACGCACGAACAACACCCACGACTTGAATCAGCCCGGACCAGAAGACGGCCCACAGGAGTGACCGAATCACCACACCGGCCCAGGATCACGGACGGACCGGACAACGGAAGGACCAACACGGAGGTGGAGCACGCCCAAACGACAGAACTGCGGAATGGACAAAAAGACGGCCCAGCAATATCGACGCAATACCCCAGAACCGGAGAAGCCCATGACGAACGACGACCGAACGACCGAACTGCCCGACGGAGGAAACCAACGGCCGACCACACCCACAGGCACCGACGGCACAACGGTACTGATGACGCACGACACACCGGATAACCGGACCAACAGAGGAAAGAATGACACGCCCACCATACAGCCAGACCCAACCAACGGAGCCCAGATCGCCATCAATCCCATCGAATGACCCAGGGACCCAGCGGATCAGCCGAAGGACCACAACCGCACACATGGACCACGACCCAGGAAGAGGACCCCAGGAAAACACCCGATCTGTTCTGAAACCCGAGGGACCAGGAGCCACAACGAAGACAACGCCCCGAGCCCGACATTGACCCAGACGACCGAACACCGACACCGGATCCCAACACAACCAGCACCGATAAATACAACAAAATACAACCAGACACACCACCAACGGACACGACCGAACCGGACCCAAAATACATGGACGACAACACAAAATCGCCACGGAACCATGGACGACAACGACCGACAGCCGCTGACCGGACGACGCACAAGGATGGATGGACACACGGACGGTGACGATCCAGGAATAACGATGGACGGATGGACGACAACGCGGATGGACACAAGGATGTGGATCGGAGGACATGCGGACACATGGATGGAAGGGTGGATGGACAAGGATGGACAAGGACCCAGGATGGACAACGGAAGGAAGGACGAGGACACAAGGAAAAGGACACGAGGTGACGGACGGTGGAGGCACAAAAGGACAAGGAAAAGGACAGGTGGACAACGGATGGAAGGATGGACGGTGAGGGATAATGGACAGGAATGGTGACGAAGGAAGATGGAAGGATGTACGCAGGTGGATGAGATGTGTGATGGGTGATGGGTGATGGGCGGTGGGTGATGTATGATCGGCAGTGGGTGATTTGTGATGGGCGGTGTTGGATAGGTGATGTGTGATAGATGATGTGTGATGTGTGATTGATGATGTGTGATGGGTGAGGGGTGATGTGTGATGGGCGGTGTGTGATGTGCGATGGGCGGTGTGTGATGTGTGATGGTTGATGTGTGATATGTGATGGGCGATGTGTGATGGATGAAGGGTGGTGTGCGTTGGGCGGAGGGTGATGTGTGATGTGTGATGGGTGAGGGGTGGTATGGTCGTGGTGTATACGTGTGTTTGTAGTCAAATGTTTCAACCAAAAACATGACAAACTTTCTTTCGATGTCCTGAATCTAAAGTGCCTTTGTTCAAAACATTTCCGACTCCTAAACTATATCTACCCTTGTTGGTATCTAGCAAATACTTCATACTGCTGTAGAAGATGTTGACGCTTCCGTTCCTTACCCCATCCGTTGTTTGCTGCTGTGAGGGTGATGTTGCTGATATCAAAGTAACCTCTCAGGTCCACCTCCCACCAGGAAGGATTGGTATCGCTTGTTAACGACCCCGTGGTGGAGTGTGTATCATTAAGGGCCCGGCTTGCAGTATTTCCTTGATAAGTACTACTCTGTTTGGCAAGTTTACGGAAAGCAATGTTTTCACCTACAAGGAGAGACGGGAATGACTGACATAAACAGGATGCTCAGATTCACTTGTGCAAGTATAATGATCTTTTTTACAAAAACGACTAAGAGGGAATATATCTATCAGTTCATTCCCTTTGGTGTAAACTGTTGAGTGGCATTTGTGATGAGCAATAGTAAGGACAACTTATTGCTATCATCGAAAACTTCTTTTTTTCACTATGATGGGCCGTTCGTGACAGATCCATTCAACTTCAGACTATTATAAAACATTTACTCACTTTTTCTGCCATCTTTTGAAATCTACCTATATCATAGGATTAAACCACAGCATCAAAATCACAAGCAAAGGCATTTGATTGTATTGTGATAATGTATTTAATGGATCAGTAGACAACTGACGCTACCAAAGACATTACTAGGCAAACGTCCGGTGTCAAGTCCATATGCAGTCGGTAGTGATGTGCCCACCTGGAGTCAAGCACTCACAGACATCTATGGCAATGGAAGCAAAGAGGGTGCAAATCCTTAGTGAATGGTCGCCCACTTTCAGTGGATGAAATATATCAATTTGGTAAAGTATAAGTAATGGAAGAGTGCCCATGCGTGCAAATTATACGTTTCGGTCAAACGTTGGGCTGTAGAGCCATTTCAAGGTGAAGCTGAGTCTGATGTTGTCGATGACAATGTCGCTATGGTTTATGCAACCGTGGCCCATAAATGTCGTGTCTGATGGGGGTCCAACCGGGTGTCGCTGTGACGTGTCTTGCAAAACGTTCACATTTGCAAGAATAAACACGTCACCTGACTCCTCATTGAACCTCCATTTTTTTACCAAATGTGACGAAACTCCCTCTCGAGATGAGAAAATGCCAATGCAATTTGTCAAAATGCGACCTCACACAGAAGACCTGGCACGAGTAACCTAGATGATCCTTGAATGGCTGGGCGGACATCGTTCACAAACGTGGTAAAGCAGATGGCACTGAGATTTGGTTGCCAGAAGGTGAAGAACCTGGATGTAGCGTTCCTGTGTGGTCTATTGGATATTGGAAAGGCACACGTTATCCCTTTGGGTTAGTAATGATTCCTGAGTCTAGTGGTGAAATGGTCTGGCTGGGGATGATGGAAGTGACAAGCGTTGGGTTAGTAATGATTCCTGAGTCTCGTGGTGAAATGGTCTGGCTGGGGATGATGGAAGTGACAAGCGTTGGGTTATTAATGATTCCTGAGTCTTGTGGTGAAATGGTCAAGCTGACGATGGTGGATGTGACAAAATATTTGTTTGGTTGTTTGGATTATGTTTCTTAAAGTCTCTAGTGTGGTCATCTTCCTTCAATTTCATGGAGATGTATAGCCCGTTTTTAAATGCGTGTTTTTCGTTCTTCGACAGTTTTATTGTTCTATACACATAGCAGAACCTGTCGCAATATTCGGTGTTTTTCATAGTATTAACCGTGGCAGAGGAACTAAACTAAACCTTAGCTTTACATACTCTCTGATTAAATTGAATCCTCAGGGAATGATCAAATGGCAAATATAAACACGAAAGAACGAGAAACTATTTATTCATATTGTTAGACATACTGACTCATTATATAGTGTTGATACTAACTATGGTCGCATGGCGTTCGCGATCATTGTCAGGAATTCTGGCAAACAAAAAACACGTAAGTATCAATAACCGAATACAATGTCAATATCTGGTGGTACCTCTGCGATAACATTTCTGACCCCCGTCCTCATTGACTGTATCAGACGTTGAATTTGACGTTGAGGTATTGCGTTCCATTCTTGATTCCAATACATCACAATCTTGTATTTGTTGGTATCTCTGGTGTCTTTGGGATACATAATGTCCGAAACAGTGGGACTAAGATCTGGACTCCTCGCTTGCCAAGGTAAAGTTGCTACAGTTTCCTGAAGTAAGAAATCACCAAGGACATGTGGCCTAGGTTCGTTGCCCATGGAGACTGGCCATGCGTTTAGAGGGTGGTCATCGAAATGTGGTTCAACCAACCATGTCTAAGATGTCAGTGATGTACTGTTGTCCATTCAGATTTTGTCTGAATGTCACAAGATCACGTTTACAGTCACGTGGGAGACATGCTCACATCATTAATGAGCCACGAATCCCAGCTAATCGGCATACGGATATGAATATGCAGTGTTGCCGCGGCGCCAAACACTATCTTGGCCATCAGTCATGAGCAAATGAAATCGGCTTTCGTGCGATCAGGGGACGCTTCCCAAAGACCTTAAATTAAGGTGACTTTGCACTTGACACAAAACGAGTGGTGGTGCTTTGTGCTCTGGAGATAACATCGGGCTTGTATTCGGCTCATTATAGACGATTTCGTCCTGTTCTGTTGGACAAGGCGATGTGGAAGCCACTCTGTTTTCAACACGCCACTTGACATAAACAGAGCTCTATATCGTGGATAGGAGTTGTCACTCCTGGTTGACCTGAACGCTGGCAGTCCTTGACGTCAGCAGCTTGCTGATGGTATCACAAAAAATTCACATTTTCTTATCACAAACGAAAGCAACTGATTTCGCACGTTATCGAGCTGTAAGAACAGTTTACTTAACCTATTTGCTTAATTTCCGATACATTGCCGACGTCACTTCAACTAAACTAACCCACTCACTCAACATTAATATTTTGTGTGCCTAGAAACATAGTCCAGAAATCTACGGTTCAAACAATGTGAATCAGTAAACATGCTACGTTAAAACAGTCTGAGCGTGGGAATTGCTTTGCGTCGATGATGTCATGACGGTCGTTATTAAGCCTCCAGACATGTCCACACTGGGCTCATATGAAAATATGCTATGAGAACATCGGTCATTCGCCAAATTTATAGGGTCTTAACAGATTACGAGCCCTGCTATGATGTGTCAATTTGTTGACAGGCGTAGAAGGTACTAGTCTGAGGCACAGCGGTTGTTTTCAGGTGTTCATCTAATTGTAGACGACAGATTACCTTAAGCTGATCACACATTTTTCAATGATTAAAAAGATTAATCACCGAATTGGAAAAATTAAGAATGACTGCTATCCACGTTCTTTGGAATATATAGCAGCACATAATCCTGTGTTATCAAATCATATCACAGGTTGTAGGTGACATGTAGCCGATTTTGTAAAGGAAAGAATCGGCTGCATGTCACCTCAAAATGGTGATTTTACTTCCATGTTACTCACATCCTAGACTGTGTAGTGAGTCAAGGACGTGGCACAACAATCTTGCAGCTATTCGTGGCGAGAAATTATGTAAACATATATGCTTTACATGTTGTTAGCAACATGCAACAAACAACAACAAAATTGGGACTCGAAACACAATTAGTCCTGAATAATTACCTCAATTAATACTCAGTGACGTTTTAGCTGTGACAGTCTTTGTTCAGCTGGATACGTTTTGGGAGGCAAATAGAAGTTGGTATTCAAGAATAAAACAAAATATTTTGGATGTCAACTTCTTTATTATTCGCCTGAAGAAGGGGCAAGGAAAACCCCCAAAACGTTGTGCATCCAATAAAGAAGAAGTTGACATCCATAATATTTTGTCTTATACTTGAATACCATCTTCTAAATGCCTCTCAATAAGCTAAGTAGGTACTTTTGGTTTTTCACCAAACATTAAATACTCAAAGATAAAATACTCACCATGTGTGTCCTGCAGTCTCGTTACACTAAGACACAATGTTAATGTGGCGACTACATGAGCCGACATCGTTCGTCGTTCGCATCCACAAAGAGAATGAGGAAGACAATCCTTAATGGATCAGAATTTTATACCAGCCGACAGAATGCGGTTCGTCAACATGAACATAAACCTGGAGAGGCATACCCAAGGAACGGTATATAAATTAAATTATGAATAATTCATGAACAAAAAACGTGTGTGTAAAAATCTAGTATTGATTAATGTTAGCTGTCATTGCGTGTGTCTCGTAAACAGTTTTACTGAGCCCTAATGCAATTGGACACTCCTCAGTTCCTTGTTCAACTTCAGGAGTACAAGGTGCAAGAGGCATGACGATACTCACAGAGACCAATATCAGTATAGGGTACATTTGACAAGCAGATGTAATGAAAGAGACACGAGTCAGTTAAGGTATACACATTGTTGTTGTTGTTGTCGTTGTTGTTGTTGTTGTTACAGTGTACGTGTTTAACGCTAGGCTCCGCAATATCCCAGGTATATTGCAACGGTCAATAAATAATCTAGGTTCGACCAACCAATCCAGTGATCAACAGCATGAGCATCGATATTCACAATTGAGACACGATGACATGTGTCAACCAAGTCAGCGGGCCTGACCATCCAATTCCGTTAGTCGTAATTTACGGCAAGCATGGGTTGCTGAAGACCAATCCTAAACCGGATATGAATATGCTCGAACGCAATTGTCCAAAAAATATCGAAAATGCTGCTTAAGTTTAACTAGTAAAGACTTTATGATAACATGGAAGTAAGTAAATATAGGAGACCATTCATTTATGTCGTAAGAATCATCTTCAGTTTACTGGAAATTCAACTCAGCTAACATTTTTTTCTGTGGTTCATGAAGTACTACTGTCTGTCTCAGAATATACAAAGTAAATAAATCTGTTATACAAAACACAGATCTGATGTATCTGGTAATATTAAACATATCTGTAGCCTAGAATTTAAATATACTCAACTGTGTTTTGATTAAAAAAAGTGAAAGTATAATTATTTCTACTGACATCAGAAACAGCAAACCAACAAAAGACTTTGGAATGCAGAATAATTTATGTCGGCTATCAGACAATAAGAAATCGACTTTCCTCTGATCAGTGGACCCTTAACAGTGAAATCAAATTCAAGTGACATGAAAACTAACACTAAGATATTCTTGCTGCTTTATGCTCTGAGAATGACATTGGACATCTAGAAGGTCGTTAGGCTCTATGCCCGACCCAGTTGTGCCATTTCGGACTAATCTGTTTGCCAAACGGCAACATGGAGTTCTATCCTCCATAGTAGTTGTCATTCGGCTGATAGTCGATGGACCACAACCAATATCTCTTGCAATAGCCCTCAACGACATGTCAGCATTCTGCATACCAATAACTTGCCATCTTTAAGCAGTTGTCAGATGAGTAGGCTCTATATTTGTGTATCAACAATATCAATTGAGTTTACAAGTTATCGAGGTGTAAGACCAGTTTACTGAAACTACACATATTCGGATACACATATTGCACGTGATGCTCGCCTTAGATCGTAACACTTTCGTCAATTTATGGAGCCAAAAATATTCATACAAACATTATTATCATTAGAAACAGGTGTTTGCTATACTAAGTTTGACATGGAGATAGAATACTTTGGTTCTAAGAGTATATCATGTTTTCCTACTATGTTTGTTGGACATAGAACATTTGTCAATATCACATATTTTTCATCTTTTCGTGATTCTGAGGATTATGATAATGTTTATGAGGTACAACCGGTCATTTTGATGGGCAATGATGGCAATGCAGTGTCTTCTGATCAGACTACGAATAAATGTAATCCATCAATCCAAACAACAGAAATTCATGTTTCTCAAATTGTTGAAGTTTCAACTTCACACACAAATGAATCAAATTCTGCAGATCATGAAGAATTGATTGATCCCCCAAGATTCCGAAAACGTAAGAGACAACCAGCATCATGGAAAAAAAACAACAAAGGACAATCCTCGGACAATCAGGCGAAGAATATGTCTCCACTCGTGGATTACAAATTCTGAAAGGCAAACAAAAAACAACAAAAGACTGTAACGGAAAATGCAAATTCAAATGTGCCCATAAAATTAGCCCAGAAGAGAAGGCAGCCATTTTTAATACTATTTGGTCTTTTCCCGATGACCAAAAAGGTCATTTCTATAATAAAACTATGGAAAGGTGTAAGGAAAAAGAACAAGAACTGAAAAGGAGGAGAGTAGAATATCGTATTCATATGAATACTATTTCTACATCAATGACAACAAGATACGTGTTTGTAAGGAGTTCTATCTCACCATCCTGCAAGTATCCCAGTGGCGAGTGTCCTACTTTTTTGAGAAGAAACACAACTTTGAAACAGCAAATCCTTTATCTGGTGATCAACGAGAAAAGCTGACAAAAGCTGAATCAGTTCTGATGCCAAAGACTTTGTCAGAAACTATATAAAATCGTTTCCCACAATGGAATCTCAGTGCTGCAGGCAATCCAGCAAGAAACTGTACTTGGATAAAGATCTCTCATTAACTAAAATGTACCGTCTCTATCTAGAAAAGTGTGAACAGGGAAAACAGAATCCTGTCAAAGAGCACATGTAGCGCCTCATATTCAACACAGAATTCAATTTGGACTTCCATACCCCCAAAATGGATATCCGTGATAGGTGTGAGGAAGTTAGAATGAAGGAAAGTACAATCTTCTGGATGAGACTCTCAAAACAGATCATGATCTACATATTCATTCCAAAATCGCAACAAAACACTCAGAACGAGATACAGACATACAGAGACAGATCAACAGCATCGTAGTCTGCTTTGACCTCCAGAACGTTATTACTTGTCCCAGAGCCAATATATCAAGCTTCTTTTACCGCAGAAAACTTGCTGTGTACAACGTTACGGCACATAACACGATAGGCCCTACAGCATACTGTGCACTTTGGCATGAGACACTATCTGGAAGAGGAGCCAATGAAATGACAAGTGCTCTTTGTGCTATTCTTGACAGGATCAGAGCAGATCATTCTCCTGAACACCTGACACTGTGGTCTAATTCATGTGTGTCACAAAACCGTAATTCTGGGATGATATTTGCTCTCAAAGATCTTATTAAAAAAACAATGTGTTCCGTCAGCCCAGCAAAAGTTTTACGAATCAGGCCACTCAAGCATTCAGTAATGCTGACGTTTTCAGTCCTCTTGGAGTAATCAAGAGCTTTAAACGTGCAATGCGGAATCCAGTTGTGATAATACAGATGCAAAAGCATCATTTCAAAAGATATCTGGAGGCAAAAGAACTCTAAACTGTAAGGCCATCCCTTTCTCTAAGGTCAAACACATGATCTATGACGCCAGTGATCTTTTGGGGGTGAAATACCGTAAATCTTTTGAGGTGAATGCTGAATTCAATCGTGCATCAGTGCGTACTCGAGAACAGGATATGAGGAGGATGTCGTCTCCACCTAGAGGAGCTTGTGCTAAAAAATGGCCGACAGTCAAACCTTGTTCCAAAAAACATGAACTGCCAAGGAGAAAGCTTCAAACCTCAGATCTGTGTTGAAGTTCATGACTCCAACAGATGAACTTTGTATGAGTGGCTTGATCTCATAATATAAACTCATTCAAGAACATATTTGATGTTCATGGTTTAGGGATCTAATATGTTTAGTGTTTTCATCTTGTAACTCAATGGTAAAGAATTTTAAACCTTTTCCAAGTTTTGAAGTTGCTTAAAGGCCACATCCAACCAAAACTTCAAACATAATTAAAACACAATTATCACTTATTCACGACATATGATATACATTGCTGGTTATGAAAATACATAAAAACAAAATTATAAGCGTACAATCGCAAATCAAATGTGCAATATTTTGTACTTGGGTTTACTTCCCAAGAAACGAAGCAGCCGGGATACCGAACCCAGTCAGAGCGGGTGGGTGTGCACTCAAGTGTTTACTCTGGTTCATTTGTAGATGCCCTGTGTATATATAGAGATGTTGGGTTTTGTAAATACATGCACATTTTTTGTGTATAACATTTTGCAATCAACAGACATCATAACATGTCATGTGTACAAGTATCACACCTGCCTATCTGTGTAATTACATAATGTGACAGAGACCGAACTCGGGCCATAAATTAATGCGTTTTGTTTACGGTGTATAGCCTGATAGGTGTTAAGTTCAAATGGCATGTGGTCAGTGATTGAAATTGTGTATTGAATATTGTCATTAGCAGACGGCAGGCAGACACATAGGTGCCAATAAAACAGACTTTGAGTTTTGTCTGTGACAACGACATATCTATATCACAGTTAGAAATTCTGTCGATGCTAAATAATGACATTGCTTTTAAGTATCGAACTGAGAAAGTGTCTCGGTAAGAAGAACGTGCGGTGAAATAGACAAATGAAATTATATAAACAGTTAAATCGGTAATCTACTGTAATAACATATAAAAAGCTCGCACCTGTGAAATATCAACAAAACAGTAGAAAAATAGCTCACACCAAAGCCTTCACCGAATATTCACCGGACAACCCGCTTCTAAGCTCCGCGAACGTATTTCACTGCGCATGTGCTCTGAGCGCAGCCTAGCTGTTGAAACCACTTCAGTTCACCCAAGCGTTGGGGGAAAGTTAGTGAATCGTTTGAACTACGACTTCGCGCGGTTTTTTTCATCTCGTTATTTTTCAACTTTATAAGTTGAATTTGCATTTTTGATGATTTGTTTCGGTAAGTCCATACTGCAAAGTTGTATTTTACGTTGCATGTGACCGTTAAGAGATTGTTTGTTTTTGATTCCACAAAACTGATGGCCTTTACTTAAACGATACAACATTCTATCATGGCTACGTGAAATTGTTCGATTTTGATTGGTCAATCAATAAAATTAGACGCTATCAATGTTGGATTGAAAATTCGTCTGATTTCATGACCGCTTCACTGCACACGTATACAACACTGCCGCATCAGCTTGACCACCAACATGGCTAATATCAACACAACAGACGTGATGGAAATGCTGATAAAACAATTATTATATGATTTTTCCTCCACAATTGTTAGGGAACCTCACTATCATATAACCTTCTATAATAAAAATATTCAAACTCGATTACAATACACTGCCTCAAACATAAAAAAACAATATCTAACATGTAAATCAGAAAGCCTTGTAAATTTCATCCCTATCTATACAAAATGTGTAGCAAATCCTTACTAAACATTTACCTACCAGGTAAATGGTATATTGGTTTCCGTTTAGAATCATAAGAATAGGAAATTCGCAAGATAACCGTCACGCGAAACACAAAATTTATGCCTCTCACACTCCATCATGTCCCGTTGCATCGTTAAAAAAATACATGTAAAAACTTGAACCACCAGAATTCTACTCTCTGCCAGCCTCCCCACAAGGCTGTCACTGCTGGTGATCTATGTTCGTACACTTTGAAAAAAGTGTGGCCACAATCCAGTCCCAAATTGATGAAAACAATGTTCCAAGGAATCCCAAGTTAGTCGCATGTACACAAAGCAGCACTGTCACTCTTTTCATCGCATGCCGGGGTGGAGGCACCTACAGCCTATGTAAGTGAAATCATGATCCACACTCGCTGGTCATACAAATCTTTGAATAGTTACAGGTCGTAGGTCGATCAGAAAAGGATCTATTCTTCGATTCTGCAGGGTTCAGATTCGACAGTCAGTGAAGTATTTTCCACTGTCACTCAAAATGTAAACACTGGCTGTCCGTCATTTCAAACTGTTGCGTAACTGTCAACAACTACAAACTGCACTTCCAAGAAAAATAAGTAGGTCAGACGATTCCATTATAGTGTGGCCAGGGGGTTAGAGTAACACGGCACGCAAAACAATTGGCTGGTTTCGGTCGTGTGGAGTTGGAATTATATAAGCCAAGCTCTTAGGTATTACATTATTGCATTGAAAAAACAGTAGTTAGTTTTCTTTGGACAGAATATTATATATGTTGCAATGTTTAAAAAAATACGAACGGCACCTTCCACTCCCTTCACAGATGAGTTCAATTCGCCTCTCGCAACATGCCGGATTTTGCAGTATCTTCCGCGGAAGGAAGGAGTTCGATTTTAAATCGGTTATGGTAGAATGGAGATAAACGTATTATGTTGGAAAATTAGATGAATGTTAGGCAGAATTGATAGTCTCTGAATTAATCATTTGAAACCTCACGCCATCGTATTGCATGGTGACAATCACTGGATTAGTTTATAACAACATCGTACATCTGTAAGACATACAGCTGAAACAAATACATGCAAATGATATAGTCATAACTGTACAATCGACTTTTAGCAGTGATTTATTATGAATGTGGAAAGGGTTTTGTCGCTTCCATTATCATATTAAGACAGCAGGGCATTTTCCTCCTTCGTGACGCCATGAGATTGTTGTTCCTATACCTATGTCTGGTTGGAATGATATAGATCCGTCTAACTTCATTAGCTTTCCTCGCAAAACCATGGAAGGCATTGTAAATAACAGACAAATATGGTTTCAGGAAACCATTATGCAAACATACATCGTGGTTTCCTAAGAAGTATAAAAACTACTGGTTAGAATCATTCATTCAAAACTTCAATGGCATTGTAAATATCCAGTATGTTGTATCAAACCTTTTTCAAAATGGATACTACATGGAAGCATGACATTGTAAAAAATTTAGATGCTTTCAGTTTGAAAGACCGTGTGTCTTCTTTTATATCAAATGACAATTGTCAGGATCCACAAGTATTGGTATGATCCACAGTATGACTGGATTGATGGTGATTTGTTTGTGGATTATTATAATATTACATGTCGTGGTAAGAATATGCATAACATTGAAAGACGTGTGCAAGTTTGTCGTAATAAAATTCATAATTTTCATTTGATTATGGCTTTACATCTTCTCAGACCAAGAGAAACTGTGTATAATTCTGTCGAAACATTAAACCCCACAAAGACACTGGTATGTTGTAGATGGTACTCCAATTCACATGATAAAGGGACAAATGGGGTTAAAACTTTTGACGTTTCCATTATTGGACGTTTTTCCAAGATAGAACATACATGAAGACTAAATGACTGTGGTTTGTTGAAAGTCGACCCAAATTAAAAATGGGAAGGGATCAGGTAACCCTTCTCCACTTATATAAGTTGCCAATACATTCTAGATTGGACTATGGACCCATTGTATATGCTGATGCTGACAAGTGTAATCTTTTAAATCTTTAAATCTAGAAAAACCAAGTACTCGGACTATATCTCTTGGTGCCTTTCCAACATATCCTGTTTAATAGCTTCTCTGGCGAGGCTTATGAGTCTATTCTAAAACAACGCTACATTAAATTGTCTCCTCACCACATTACAATAATTACGTTGGATTCTCTCGAATCCTGCTTTTGACTCTGTTTAAGCACCTCCATGAAGAACAGGTTTCTTTTTTGTTTGTTTTGGGGTTTTTTTCAAACAAAAAACATAAACAATTTCGTTCCCTCACATGGGAATTGTATCAAACGCCATATTGTGACTGCTAATACTGATTTTGACGTTATCTCTCCATACCGGCTATTAAACCTATTATAAGATGTTACATTCGAGATCTAATGCAAAGAGAAGTCGTACACCTAAGTAATGTTTTGTTTTGTGTGATAACAGTAAACATAGTAAGTATTTTTTCATCAGTATGGTCCACTTCTGTTCTCAAGCTCCATCCTTAGGTTAAAATTTCACTTTGAGTTAGGATTTTACAGACAGTTGTCCACGGTGTACATGGTCCAGTCATTCCTTGCCACAGAATACTGCGTTACGACCTCGTAGGTCAGCAGACAGTTGGATTCGGTCGACGCAGTTTCGCTGTAGCTGAAGTCGATGCATGAATGATTTCGGTGACAAAGGATGCCACATTCTCCTGCTGTTACGGCTGATGTAGTCATGGATGGTTTGGTCACCTTTCTCCCCATCGTTGGTGTGTAGTAGGATCCTGGAGAGAACATGAAACTGAGATAGTGAATTCATCCATATTTCTAATCATTCTGTCCAATACATATATTTCCTTCAGTGAGATCTTTAAAAAAATATTGCGCCCAAAATGCTAGTTGTCCAGAAACATTACAGTAAATAGTAAAAACTATCAGTATCAGCTAACATTGTAATGGATCCAGGTCCAGTGATCAGAAGCATGGGTGTAGATCTACGCGATTTGGAGACACTGACATGTTCCAACCAAGTCAGCAAGCCTAACCACTCGATCCCATTTGTCGCCTCTTATGAGAAGTATGGGTTGCTGAAGACCAATTCTAAGTCGGATCTTCACCGGTTTTAGGTCAACTATAAGCATCAGCTACGGTGCCATAGGATACTGTACCACTACCACATTAGCACTCTAATCATGACAATAAACTGAACATGGTAAAAGGTCGAAGGGACGTCTAGTGAAGTGTTATATTATTATGTGTGCTGACATGAAGAAAGTAACATCAGATATGAAGCTGTTATGGAAATTATAGATCAGTCACGATCTAAAAGCAGAACACTCACGATATCGCTTCGTAGCCCCGACACCTTGTACATCAACATGTCCGATATTCAAATGATTAGTTGATGTAGAACGCCTTGTGACACGGATGAAGCGAATGGGGAAAGGGACATTGCAAGTGAAGATGAATTTCTCTTTCTTGGCGACAGTGCTTGACACATTCCCACACCACTCCACCTGGGCGTCAGAGCAGAGGCTGACATCTTTGTCCATCACTTCCACGTAGGCATTTCTCATGTATACGCCTACAACGTAGAAATAGTACATTTTAGACACATTTCGTATATTAATCAAGAATGTGTAAGGAACAAAGGTGTAACAATGACACAATGTTTTAAAGAATCAGACATTGCAACTACACCCATCCCTCCAATATAACGGGTCATAAAATAGCTCACTGTCAAAAAATGCCATGTTTGTTACGAAATGAAGACATATGTATAATTTGTTAATATCTATGATATTGGTATTAAAAGGATGATTTGACATGCTTACTATTTCAAAAATATAATGATCAAATTCTGTAATGTGTGTGTGTGTGTGTGTGTGTGTGTGTGTGTGTGTGTGTGTGAGTGTGATGTGTGATGTGTGATGGATGATGGGTGATGTGTGATGGATGATGGACGATGTGTGATGGACAATGTGTGATGTGTTATGGATGATGTGTGATGTGTGACGGACGATTCGTGATGTGTGATGGTCGATGTGTGATGTCCACGTAGGCATTTCTCATGTGTTTAACTGCAACATAGAAATAGTACACATTCGACATTTGTATATTAATGATGAAAGTCAGTAAGTATTGAGTATTGGTATTACGACCGTTGTAAACCGAAAGGGCATAATTGACACAGTTTTAAAAAATCAGACATTGTAACCATCCCCATCCCCTCCAATATAACGGGACATATAGTAGTTCACAGTAGCTAATGCATATTTGTTACGAAATGAAGACATGTGTATGCTTAAGGTAATTTGATAATATTCACAATATTGGTTTTGAAATGACCATTTGACATTATTACTAGTTGAAAAATAAAATGATCACGTTCTGACGTACCTTTATCGATATTCTGTGAGATGTGTGTAAGAGTGACTGAGTGATGAGTGATTTGTGATGGATGATGGGATGGTGGGGGTTTATGCGTGTGTTTATAGTCAGAGGTTTCGACAAATAAACATAACAATTTTTCTTTCGTTGTCCTGAATCTTTTGTTCCTGCTTTTGTTCAAAACTTGTTTAACTCCTTACTTATATCTACGTTAATTAGTCTCTAACAAATATTTCATACTGCTGTAAAAGATAGTCACACTTCGGTTCCTTACCCCATCCATTGTTGGCTGCTGTGAGGGTGATGTTGCTGATATCAAAGTAACCTCTCAGGTCCACCTCCCACCAGGAAGGATTCGTAGTGCTTGTTAACGACCCCGTGTTGGAGTATATATTATTGAGGGCCTGGCTTGCAGGATATCCTGGATTCGTACTACTCTGTTTGGCAAGTTTACCAAAAGCAATGTTTTCACCTACAAGGAGAGACAAGAACTATTGACATAAAAAGGATGCTCAGATTCAATTGTGCAAATATGATGATCTTTGTTAAAGTTATCTCATATGATGATCTTTGTAAAGTTATATGTGGTCCTGTGTATAGAACTCAGGTAAAAAATCAGTTGATGTTAAGCAACGATGACCGTGGAGAGTCCTTGGATGGATGACCGTGTTTGGCAGCTTGACTCCTAAGGGGTTTCAAGGACTTCAGTCCTGCCTCACAACAAAGCACAACGAAGCACGTGTGTTCAAAATTGCTGTATTCACCAAACTGAAAATGGGTGAGATAAGCCATGTGACTATTAACCTTCTAGCGCTTCACAGGCAGCTTGAGTTATCGAGGTAATAATAATCTGATTCTGATTTCAGTGTCCAGTGAGCAACTAGTCAACAAATGAATTATTATTATACAAAAGTGACTAAGAGGTGCTATATCTCTAATTTCATTCCCTTTGGTTTAAACTGTTTGAGTGACATTTTTTATGATCAATAGTAAGGACAAATTATTTCTATCATTGACAACTTCTGTTTTGCACTATGATGGGACGTTCGCGACAGATCCATTTAACTTCGGACTCATTTTTTATGCCATCTTTTGAAATCTATCTATATGACATGACTAGGCCACAACACCAACATGACAAGCAAAGGCACTTGATGGTATTTGATTAATGTATTTAACGGATTAGTAGACAACTGACGCTACCAAAGTTGACTTTAATAGATTATGTAGACATTACTAGGCAAACGTCCGGTGTCTTATGCAGCCGGTACTGCCCTCGTTTTGTACACTCCCGGCATTTACCACCAACTTTGAAAATATGCCTTTCGAACTTTCAGTCATCACGTAATAAATGCGACGACATTATGGAGACTAATTTAGACAGAAACATTGATATCATGATTCTTACAGAGACAGGTTTGCAATTTGTGGATGATGAATCTAAAATTAGAGCTATGACTCAAGCTATCAAACAAGACCGTCACGTGTCGGAAGAGTCGCAGTGTCAGAGACAGTATAGAGACATTAAAAGTTAAACTTAGGCCAAAGTCTACATAGAAGTCAGTTCATTGGAATTCATGAGCTTTCTTGTCAGTCATGGAAGTATTTCAACAGATTTCTTTGCGATATGCCATCCACCTCTTTCTGCTAGATATAAGCTAACTTCTGCCATGTCCCTTGATGAATTTCCAGGGCTTTTGGATGACATCTGCGTCAACAAATCAAGGCTGTTCTTCTTGGAGACTTCAGTTATCATTATGATAACAAGACCAATCATGACACGGTGAACCTAGAAAATATGTTAACCAATAGGGATTTGTGTCCACTTGTTGAGGGCCCAACACACAAGAACGGTCACATTCTTGACTGGGTGTACGTAATTACTAGGGAGTCAGTTAATTTCATCACAAGTACAAGAGCTGTGGATCTACAGCTCTCTGATCACTATTTCTTCCCAGTACCTAGTAATAGCAATTCGCTGCAGTTAAATGGATTCCTCGGCGTTCAGGTCTGACCTTTAGGACTCAAATCTTCTGTCTGATCCACCTGCTTATTGTGAAAGTTTTGCTGCTGCTTACAACCAAGTTCTTCTCGAGCTGCTGGACAAACACGCCCCGAAAAAGGACAAACGCATACCTCACAGACCTGACTCCCACTTGATTTTCACAGATAAGCGAGGCTAAGGCTGATCGAAGAGCAGCAGAGAGACGTTGGCGGAAGTCATGTTTGGAGGTGGACAGACAAATCTACTGCAAAGCTAGGAATCAAGTTTAATATCCATTAAAAAGGCGAAGAATGACTTTCTAAACATATTTTCGAGACCATGACAGATTCTAAGGCACTCTACAAACACATGTTTTCTCTCATAGGAAAAATAACCAATCAGGTTCCTCCTGATACTGGCGACCCGTTGGTGGTAGCAAACACCTTTTCCAAGTATCTCATGGACAAAATCAACACAATCCGATCCTCATTCCCATGCTACCAACAACCAGCAACCCAGTATGACACTCCAGCGCCACTAGAGAACCTGCTTTGTGAATTCGAACCCTTCTCATAAAGCAAGCTCATAAACAGATCCAAACCAACATCCTGCTATCTTGATCCGATTCCAATACAATTCCTCCTGCAAAACTTGGATATTCTATTACCAGTGGTTGTCTCCCTAATTAGCGCCTTCATCCAATCAGGACAGATGCCGTCAGTTCTGAAAACAGCCATAGTAAAGCCTCTTTTGAAGAAATCACCCTTAGACTCTGAAAATTTAAAAAAAACTCAAGGCTTGTCTCAAATGTGTCATTTTTTCAAAACTTCTGGAAGGAGCAATTGCTGAATATCACATCTATAGATAGGCCCTTGCATGGTTCAGCTCATACCTTTCACAGATACACCAATCTGTATTCATTGCTGGAAGTCTATCTGATCCTCAGGACCTTACATGTGGAGTGCTACAAGACTCCGCTGTACATAAAGCCCCTTGCCACTGTTGTTAAAGATCATGATATTCTTCGCCATCAATACGCTGATGGTTCACTGATGAAGATGTTCAAACCTGATGCCTTGAGTGTCAACCCTGCTACGGAGAGCCTTTCACAGTGATTTGACGACGTCAAGGATTGGACGTCTAACAACAAGTTGAAGTTGAACGATTCGAAAACCGAATGTTTGCTGATTGGATCTAAAGCAAAACTAAAACATGCAGACTTGAACTTGCTAACGTTTGGGTATTGCACTATTACGTTATCAGAATCTGTCAAAGATCTTGAGGTCATCATCGATCCAGACCTTTCGTTTTGACAGGCATATCAATCATCCTGTGAAAACGTCATATTTTCAACTCAGGAACATCTGGAGCATCAGAAAATATCTGACAGTCGATTCCACCAAAATTCGAGTTCTCTTCCTCGTCATCTCGAGACAGGACTATTGTAGTAGAGTTCTCAGACCCTAACAAACAAGCTTCAGTGAGTGCAGAACACAGCTACAAGAATCATCTCAAAGATGAGACATACGAGACCACGTAACGCCAATTCTAATGGAATTACACTGGCTTCCAGTCTCACAAAGTCCTCTGTCTACCTTACAAGTGCTTAAACAATCAAGCTCCTGCCTATCTTTCGGACTTACCCACCCTCTACGTCTCCACCCGTTCCCTACGCTCAGAATCTAAACAACTACTTACTATGCCTAAAGTCAGAACTCATTATTATTATAGGATATTTATATAGCGCACATATCCAGGCAACTAGTGCTTGCTCAAGGCGCTGGTGTTGTTTTCCCCTCGATCACTGGATGTTAATCTCAACGGCACATCATATTATCAATCTCAACTCCCTGGGGAGTATACAACTCTTGCAGCCACTAGGCGCACCGATTTATTGTGGCTTTCTCATCCTAAGGTACCCATTCACAGCTGGGTGGACTGGGACACATAGTCACAGTATTTTGTCCAAGTTCACTGCACGTTGCTGTACCCGCAACTAGGCGTTTACACGTATTCATGTGGCCAACATCTGTTCATATACCAACGGATTCTTGGGTTCTTTTAAGTGCACAGGGTTGTGTACTGTACACCAGGGTTTGTGACAACACTGAAAGAGTCTGCACACAAAGTTGACTCCAAGGTTTTTACACCCGGTCACAGGTGGGCTCGATCCCGACACCTCAACCTCGCTGGATCACTAGCCTGGCACCTCAGCCAGCACGCCCACGGCGTCAAGGACTGTCAACGTTCATTTGCCTTTGCCGCTGTCTCATGTTGGAACTCTCTTCCTAAGATGATTCGTCTCTCTGAATCACTATCAACCTTCAACACAAGCCTTAAAACCTATTCTTTCAAGACAAGCTTATCTTCTCTGAATCTTTTTTTACAACTGTGCGCTTTGAGCATGCATTGAGCATGGAATTAGCGATATTCAAATTGACTGTTATGTTAGATACTTTATTAACTAAAAAGACGTAAAGAATGAGTGCAAAAATCAAGAATGACTCCTATTCACGTTCTTTAGATGGTGTAACAGAACATTTGTAATATAAAGGTAGGAATGAGGTACACGTCGCCTCAGAAAGGTGAGTTCAGCTCACGCCCTAGACTTTGTAGTGAGTGAACATTGCTTGACGTTGCACAACAATTTTGCAGCTATTCGTAGTGAGAGAAATTATGCAAATTATATCCTTTACATAATTGCGTCTTTAAATCAATCACTCCTGATTAATTACCTCAATTAATACTCAGAGACGTTTTAGATGTGACTGTCTTTTTTCAGCTATGTACATTTTGTTTTTCATCAAAGATTAAATACTCAAAGATAGAATACCCATCATGTGTGTTCTGCAGTCTCGTTGCACTAAGACAGAGTGGCCAGTATACGAGCCGACATCGTTCGTCGTCCGCATCAACAATGTGAATGAGAAAGACAGTTCTTAACTCAGAATTTGATTGCAGCCGACATGAGATATCAAGCTTTCTTTACACTCTGCATACATAACACCCGTCAATAGAATGCGGTTCGTCAGCATGAACATAAAGCTGAAAAGACATACACAAAAAACGGCATGTAAATTTCACTATGAATAATTCATGAACAAAACATGGATTGTGTAAACATCTAGTATTGATTAGCATATACTGGCATCGTGTGTGTCTCGTAAACAGTTTTATCTGATCTCTAATGCAATTGGACACTTCTCTGTTCCTTGTTCAGCCGACCTTTACTCCAGGTGTACAAGGTTGCAAGAGGCATGACAATACTCACGGAGTCCAATATCAGTATACGATACGTTTGACAAGTAGATTTAATTAAAACTTCACGAGTCAGTTGAGGACATTGTGCATCTGTTTAACGCTGCGCGCAGCAATATTCCAGGTAAATGGCGACAGCATGTAAATAAACGAGTCAGAACCAGACAATCCAGTGATTGACAACATGAGCATCGATCTATGCAACTGGGATACGATGACGTGCATCAAACAAGTCAGAGAGCCTGACCACCCGATCTCGTTAATCGCCTCTTACTACAAGCACTGGTTATTGAAGATCAATTCTAACCCGGATCTTCACGGGTCTAGCGACCTGTAGCCACGTTTTACATTGTGGTTTACATTGTGGTGTCAATCTAAAGTGTTTAACGGGCTCTCAAACTGTGCTGGCTCCTTCGTCAAGTGAGGAAGAATACACTCCGAAACGTCGTATTATTCACAATAAAGAAGTTGACACCCATAAATCTTGCTTTTCGTATGCATTCCACTTCTAAAGGCCCTTCAAAGATTTGAACCTCCACTGAATTGCAAAATCAAGAATGACTGCTGTCCATGTTCCTTGGATGGTATAGCAGCACAGAATCCTGTGTTTTATCAAATCACAGGTTATAGTTTAAAGCAACGAATCGGGTACATGTCACCTCAGAAAGGTGATTTTAGTTTCACTTTGTTCACATCCTAGACTTTGTAGTGAGTGAACACTTGACGTGGCACATCCGTCATGCGGCTAATCGTGGTGAAGAATTATATAAATGATATCCTTTACATGTTGTTAGCATAATCAAGGATGGTCCTCTAAACACAATCACCCCTGATTACATATCTCAATGAATACTCAGTGACGCTTTAGCTGTGACTGTCTTTGTTCAGCTAGGTATTTTGTATAAGACAACATATTATGGAAGTCAATTCTTTATTTTATGTACAACGTTTACAGACTTTTCCATGCCACTTCGTCAGGTGAATGATAAAGGAGTTGACATTCATGATATTTTGTCTTATACTTGAATACCAACCTCTACATGTCCCTCAACAAACTCATTAGGTACTTTTGGTTTTTCATCAAACATTAAACACTCAAAGATAAAATACTCACCATGTGTGCTCTGCAGTCTCGTTAAACTAAGACAGAATGTTAATGTGGCCAGTATACGAGCCGACATCGTTCGTCTTCTGCATCCACAATGTGAATGAGAAAGACAATCCTTAAAGATCGCATATACTCTAGGGGGGTACAAATACATAAATCACTGATTAGCATCATTATAAATGAAACCCCGTCATTAGAACTACTCATTTCGATCTTTAATTAACTTAAATCGACCTTTTTGACAACAGTGCACAATTCTCACCCTCGAACGAAATTTCCACCAACCAGAGGGGCGCGTCTCCGTGACGTAATGTGAGGTATACATATGAGGGGCGATGTAGAATTCATGTACATTTCAGGGGGGTAAATTATCTTGTTTACAGGTTTGTATAAACCTGAAATCGTGACAGTTGTTGTGAAAAATGAAAGCTATATGTTCTCATAATCTACTGTCATTTAATTTTGTCACCTGCTTTGCCTAGCTTCCGAGTTACAACTTGTTTTCAAAGACGATTCTGTCAAAATTGCTTGGGGTCGCTAGGCCTTATTTGTTCGAGCCATACCCTAGTGACACTGTGACAGTGAAAACGATGATCGGCCTCGCTCATCACGGGTACGGTTAATTTCTTCAACCTAAACAGTGCGAAATTAGGAAGGGTGTATACCCATCAGATGCCGTTATTTGAAAATATCCCCAGTAGTTCTTGTCAGATTGTAATAAAGTATCAAAGCAGTGTGGGCTTTTTCAGGTTTTCTAATGCCTGGATGGTATAATGACTGATCCAAATTGATCCCATTTCTGTCATGTCATGTAAAAATATGACGTCTATTACGTATGATATTAAAAATTGACATTTGATTTATTTGAATCCGTAAACTAAACAATCCAACTTTGCCATTGCTAGAATTTACTTAAGTAAATAGGTACATACAGTTTTATCACACAGCAAATGATTATATGTATTTGTTTTTGCCTCAATGAAGTTCTGTTCGTATTCTCAAAACGGTGTCGGCCCACAAGTTTTTTACATGCAATTAAAGTTGCATGCAATACAGCAATTAAGACTCCCTTGTTGTAACCCGTGTTAGGTGGTATAAACTTACACATGTTATTTGTCATCATTCACTTGATGGTCAGTTAACGAATTTATAACAGGTATAATTAGTGGTAACACCACTTAGATTACCCGACATAGGTTCCCATTTGGCATTTCTTGTGTCTGGAGTAAATACTCAGCATTATAAATAAAGGTCTGATGTGGAAAATGTATTTCATGTTATGTAATATGCGCATGGAATTGCAGCGAGAAGAATTATCAGCCGAGTTACAAAACAAACATCGGTCAAAGGATTGACCGATAACACGCTGATTGATAAATTACTTTTATCTTGCACAGTGGATTTGTCAAAAGGTAGTGTTTATGTAGATTTACTAATCTATACTGAATACACTCTGTCGTAAAGTGTCTTCTCTCAAAGGATTAACCGCCAATACATTGATTGATTGCTCATTATTGGCTAACTAAATTACTTTTTTTTAAAGAATGGCGGACATTATGCAATTAGTTGCCAGGTGTGTTATCTTGGGTGACCAATGAGACTATACACCAATGTGAAAACCTGAAACGATATATCACTTTTTCGCATATTAGACTGTTAAAAGACACATCACTTGGAACAGCTGCAAATGACTGGCATATCACTCCTTTTGTGGATATTGATGGATAAATTCCTCGAACAGATAATAGCCTGACATTGTTGCTTTAACTTTAATCTGTTTTAATTTTAATATTTGAATTTTGGTTTTATTCAACAGAATCATTGTTTTTGCCGTGAAGTGTAATGAGATAGACAACATACACTAGGTCGTGTGTGCGAGTTATTTTTTTTATTTTTATTTTTTTCCTTTATTATTCCTTTTCATACATGCATGTATAAGGCAGACATGATGTATGGACAATAAACATTTCAGTGATCAATAATTCGGTCATGTTATTCAGGTCATGCATAAGCGTAATGGATACGAACAAGTTTTAACAGATTACTTTATTTATACTATATATAATTCACAATGACACTACATAAAATTAAAGTGATAGCTGACAACACTGGAATTGATTATTTTATGGCGCTTCAAAGGATAGTTCAGGCAGTTCCTTCCATTTTTTTATAGTCACTATATCTGTTATTATTTCTTGCTATGAGTTATTCAATTTTACAAATGTCCTTTATTGATGAGACAAATCTGTCAAATGATGGGGACACCTGTTGAAGACTTAAGATGTAGATAAATCTTTTGGCTATGAGTAAGACCCAAACATTACACAGTATTTTGTGACTTTCAGATTACTTTCGAAATAGTTATTAATGAAATTCTCTTAATGAAAACAATCTGACATTCATAGAAGACATGTAAAATATTTCTGTTTTACAAAAAGAGCATAGTTTATCTTCAACTAACCTCATTTTCAGTAACTCTGTTTTTGTGTATATTATTACTCCGTTAATAAATCTGTACTGAAAGTCTAATAGCTTACAATCATTTGTACATTTCCTATAACAAACAAAGGCTTCTTTCCAGTTGATATCATTATCGAAAACAAAGTTCCAATGTTCTAATACTTTGGGAATATTATCATTCTTAATTAACTTATCGTAAAACATCCATGAGCTTGTATCATTTGACATCATATCGAAATTAATACTGTTGCTATTTAGCTGACATAAATTTTGTGTTTTGTTTCTAATAAGATGCTTCCATGTATCTGGGATATTGTGTAATAAACGTTGAAAATCTAGGAAAGTTCCTTTTATTCTGTACGCCTGATGGATTTTTTCAAAGCTGAGAAAGCCACTTTCACCACAAATATCTCTGATACTGTGTAGACCACGAACAAACCAATTCTTTATCATATATGAGGGTTTAAAATGATGATTTAACCACAGAGGTTGTACCATGGTTTATATCAAAGTCTAGATTGTGTTTTCTATAAAATATCCCCCAGGCCAAAAGAACATCTCTCCATAAAGGGCTGTCTGACTCAGGTAAACAATCAACCGCATTTGAGGCCAGAGCTTACAAATGTCTTACAGGAAAGATGTTAAGCGTTTATTCAACACGCCTCCAAAGAAGACATTATTCAGGAAACGTCGGGCAACTCCTGAAACCTTGATTAAAAATAAAAGGAAGCACTTATGACTCTCTGGACAAGAATATATGAATCAGGAAGAGAATATTATGTGAGCTAGATCTGTACAAGCAGTCGACTGTTCTAACTGTAGGTACAAATGTTCTGCAAACATCTCTGAAGAACCCCCCAAAGTATTTTAAAAACCTTTCGGAACTTATCCTCATACACAAGACAGAAAGACTTCGTTTGTTCAAACACAACAGAAAAGAAGACTTGCACATACCTGAATGAAGAAGAAAATGTTGTACAGAAAAACGCCAAGTTCACCGAACGTACACTTTTCAACTTGATGGGGAACCACACAATGTCTGTAAAACATTTTTCAGAAAAATCTTGGCATGTTGGTGAATCCTATATCAATCATGCTCTACGAAATAATAAGCAGGTGATGTTTGCTGGGACTGAAAAGAGGGGACACCACGAGCCACATAACAAGACTGCCACCGATACACTAAAAATAGTTCAAGACCACATAGAATCATTCCCAATCGTTGATGTTCATTACACCCGTCGAGATATGAACAGAAAGCTTTTGGCATCGACATTAAATGTAAAAAAAAAATGTACGAACTGTACAATGACAAGGACAAATCCATTTTTGTGGCCACATTTGATCTGCAGGCTGCATTATATACACCATGCTCACTTGTCAGTGAACGTTTCTACATGAAGAATTGAACTGTTACAATTTTACTGTATACGATTTAGCCACGAAGGGAGGTACATGCTTTGTATGTCCGGAAGTGGATGCCCAGAGAGGATAATGTGAAGTTGGTACATGCTTTGTATGGTCGGAAGTGAATGCCCAGAGAGGATCATGTGAAGTTGGTACATGCTTTGTATGGTCGGAAGTGAATACCCAGAGAGGATCATGTGAAGTTGCATCATGTCTGCAGTTTACCACCAGCCGTCAAGCATGTACTTCTGTGTTTAGGACAGAACAGAAACCAGCATGTCGCAGCCTCCCTATGTGTGGCCACTACTGAACACATCAATACAATTGACTACAAATTTCTAGAGCCAAGCCACACACAGATGGAGTGCGATTTATGTATTTATGTGCCAAACCAGTGGGACATTAATATAAGAATGGCCAAAAGGAAGGACCCATATATTGTCGCCCCAATACAGTTCACCGATGGGATGAATTTTCAGAAATATGCCCATGGCAGACCAAACTTGATACAGATGGTGGTCGTGTGAACTTGTTGTCAATCATCAGTCTGTTCTGGTATCCTTAGGCCTATTGACGCATATGTCTATAAGTGCATCAATTTGTTCTGGTATTTCTGTAGGCGCATAAGTCTGTACTGGTATGTCTATAGGTGCGTCAGTCTGTTCTGGTATTTCTGTAGGCCCATAAGTCTGTAGTGGTATGTCTATAGGTGCATCACTCAGTCCCGGCATGTCATTACTCTGTACTGGTATGTCTATAGGTGCATCACTCAGTGCCGGCATGTCATTACTCTGTACTGGTATGTCTATAGGTGCATCACTCAGTCCCGGCATGTCATTACTCTGTACTGGTATGTCTATAGGCGCATCACTCAGTCCCGGCATGTCATTACTCTGTACTGGTATGTCTATAGGTGCATCACTCAGTCCCGGCATGTCATTACTCTGTACTGGTATGTCTATAGGTGCATCACTCAGTCCCGGCATGTCATTACTCTGTACTGGTATGTCTATAGGTGCATCACTCAGTCCCGGCATGTCATTACTCTGTACTGGTATGTCTATAGGTGCATCACTCAGTCCCGGCATGTCATTACTCTGTACTGGTATGTCTATAGGTGCATCACTCAGTGCCGGCATGTCATTACTCTGTACTGGTATGACTATAGGTGCATCACTCAGTCCCGGCATGTCATTACTCTGTACTGGTATGTCTATAGGTGCATCACTCAGTGCCGGCATGTCATTACTCTGTACTGGTATGTCTATAGGCGCATCATTCAATTGTGAGTGTCAATGGGCAATTATGACATGATTATATATGTTAAAAGAAACATATTAAGTCTCAACCTTTTGCAATGTGTTATAAAGAATCAGAGAAAGCATATATTCACACACAAAATTTGTTTTCATTGTATTCTAAAACGTAAACAACACCAGCTCAAATCCGATAGCCAGCGCGTATGCATATGTTTAAATTGACTAGTACACATGAAAGGTAAAATGGTATTATATCTACCTAAATACTTCTTTATAGAGTCGCAAAGCGTAGTATTTCAAGCAAGCACTTGCTCGAAGTGAAGCCCTCTCTCCTATATATTCTACCTAAATGCCACATTGTGAAGCCCTTGTTCCTCTCCATCCCCAGCACAGCTTTAATCAAAAGTGTTTAGTCACTGATCGGTGCGACTTGGCCGGGCTGTCAAAAAGAGCTTAAACCTCACACATGTATCTTGAAGTTTCACAGATAAATCCTAGATTCTGTTTACATCCAATGAATATAGTTATATCTATCCAAATACCACTTTATAGAGTCTTTAAGCATGGTATCTGAAAGAAGCACTTTGCTCAAAGCACGGATAATCTACTACTTATATAGTCTCCCTGCTCAAGGTGATGCCCAGTGTTCAGTGTGACCCTGCCCAGGCTAATAAAATGAATAGCCAATTACACCTGTATCCATATTGCTTAATTGCACCATGGCAGTCTATTGATTAACTGCTTAAGAAGTTTGAAATATCGACTATCGTGTAAAAGTTTAGAAATTATCTATAAATCTTTCATCTTACCTATTTTTGATTATTTCGGCCACATAGGGGACAACTGTACCCAGGAACAGTCCATTTTACTAGAAAAATTGAACCTAGACGCATTGCGATCAATATGTGGTGCAGTTCGAGGAACAAGCCAAAACATGATATATGAAGAAACTAACCAAATACGATTTAAAGAACGTATAGATATATTTCTAAGCTGACAACATTTAATAAAATGAAGAATAATCTTTCGGCTCAATAGCTCTTACCTACAATACCTAATACTAATCATTATAACCTCAGTGGACATTTATCAGCGCGGACAGTTAAATGTAGACATATGCCAAAACTCGCTATACAGACCTAATAACAAAACTATTATCTTTGACCTAAACTATGGATCAAGAATATGCCAAATTATCCATTCTCAGCTTCAAGCTCGGTTGTATTGATTTGGATGCCGATAGGTTTGACAGACATATCTTCGACAGCCCATCGTGTTTGTGTGGTCATCCAGTCGAAAACGCTGTATATTTATTTCTTCACATGCAATAAATGCATGGAATTATGACACAAATACTCTTTCTATTTAAAGGAATTAGCATGAAGACAGTACTATGAGGATGTGCATCGCTCACTAGCAATGATCTACACAAATTATTGAAATCTATTCCTGATTACATAATAAAATCTGACCGATTTGATGTTTCATAAATACTTTTTTATTGACTGGCAAACAAACAAGTCGATATTCATGCATTACCCTTATCTTGATTGTTGATAAGTAAGAATTGTGTCATCACTGTGTCATCTGTTTCTGTACTTGCACATGCATTTGCATATGGGAGCGGACTTCAAATAAGCTCCTCGGAGCTTGTTGGTCAATCCATTCATAACGCATATTTTCATGAATAAAGTGACAAGATCCCTGTCAGAAGTCAAGTTCTCCTGATCTCCTCTGGGACATGGGGAGGTTTAAGGTAGGAAACAACTTCATACTATATAACTGTTGAAGGAAGAAGCATCTTGAATGAGGATTGTTTCACGCACGTAGCCGTAATATATCCGTCATAATGGATGTGGCATGTTGTAAAACGTATTTTATGATTTGATTGCCCTGATCGGGTCAGTTCTGAATATTGTCAGTTTTTTATCAAGTTTTGTGGACCCTATTATAAACTGTGAAGCACAGTTTGACATTTGCGTGTAAACAAACGGCTGCAAAGTAAGGTCACGTATAGTCCAAAGCATTGTCAGACGATATATTATTTTTGAGTTAATTCTATTTTCAGATTTCAGTGGTTGGGCAAAAGAACTGATGGGTGCACATAATGTTTTATATACTATGTTTGCACGGGGCTGTTGTCCTTCTTTCTGGTGTCACCCCAAGGTACTGAAATAGATGGCAACAAGGCCTATGACCTATGTAGACCATCCTCATTTCATGTATTCTTGGAGAGTAAGGCAGGATTTCATTGCATATGATGGGCTTCATCTGAGAGCAGCAGGACAGAAACACCTGGCTTCAGATATTATCTCTTGGTGGCATGTTATTCAGAAAGGAGTTATTGTTAAATACGTTTGCATTCATTCAATGCAGCTTGTTCAGCTTGACCTGAGCTACTCTACATATGCATGACCCGGGAGGTCAAATGGCACAAAGGACAGGTCGAGATAACTTCATTAAAAAGGGGAGCAGAGAATGTTATTAATGTTGCGTTCGTGCGAAGCATGCATACATGGATTCGTTACAGAACTTGTCCCGGAAAACAACACTTCCGAAAAAACAATCATTTCATGTTTTAATTGAATTGTTTCTTCAGTCATATGCTATGTAGTTTGGTTTGCTAACTTCACAACATACAGACGTCAGTTACTTTCACAATCTGATTCACTCTCGCTAGTTGCTGTTACTCGCTGCCTTAAAGCCCGAATAGGAAACATTAAACCATCTATAGCTTGTTTTTTAAAGAAAGTTAGCACATTGCTGACTATTTCTCGACACTGAGATGTCCAATGGCGACCTTGTCTCGTCTGTACGGACTGTTGACAATTAACTAAATAAGGTGCACCCCTTCACAATAATAGACCCAACCAGTTGCGACACGGCCACGCAATTCATTGGTATGCACTTGATCAGGTCAAGCTGAACAAGCTGTACATATATTAATAATGTACCATAAGGTCTTGGCTCCGGTTTAATGCAGAACATTCATTTACCGTTTACTTTGCATTAAAATTGGTATCTGCTCTTCTTTCGAATAAATGGCAACAACAACAAGGCACTAATATTAATACTGTGTTATGTTGTTTCAGTTGTAACCCGTTATCTTTACATGTGGCATTTTGTAACATCACAATGTGGCGTTTAGGTAGACATGGACTTAATCATGATACATGTGTGAGGTTTAAGTTGCTTTTGACAGCCCTGGCCAAGTGGGGTCAACAGAGACTTAACACTTTTGATTGAGGTTATGTTGAAAATGGAGAGAGAAAAGGGCTGGAAAAGTTATATATAGGTAGATATAATACTAATCTGTGAATTAAAACACAATTCAAGATACATATGTGAGTTTTAAGTTGCTTTTGACTGCCCGACGGACCGAAGAATAGTGGCGGTGATTATGTTGAGAGGGTGTGGGAAGAGAGATCGTTTCATTTGCAGGTGGGTATGCCTTACATACAATGAATAGTGGCCTTCTAGGGTGGTATTTGATTGGATATAGGTGTAAGAACATTTTCGGGTCGACAGAAAAGTTTATCGGGAGTGACTGGAGCATTTTTGCGTTTTAAATCCTGTTTCGTTTAACGATTCTTCTTTTAGACGTAACCTTGGTCAGCCACGTTCAGAGGCCGATAACCCCTCGATATAGTCAGACGTCGACCGCGACGTCGCCCACGACGTCGCCCGTTATTTTTGTAGCCAAAAAATAGTTAACAAAGCGCCATTTTTATTCGACGTCGTTCTTTTTTTACGCGCCACGAGATGACAATTATAGGACACCATACACCAAAGACTCACCGAAACCAATCGTCGTGAAGTTTGTTCACATGCAGGACAGAAATGATGTGCACCAAGCTACTTTCAAGAAATATAGAACACTGAGTGAGAAGAAAATCTCCATTCGAACCGATTTGCCTGTCATGATGAAGAAGAAGAGGTGTGTGCGAATTATGATTCACATTGGCACAATATAAAATGTCTAGATATTACATTCCTGCTATGAATTCAATATAAGTATCAGCAGATCGCCTGCTTTTTATTAAGTTTCAAAATACATACAAGTATGATAATAAATTAATTAGGATCATAAGACCAAATAAAAAGATGTACATTGACTAGTATCTACATACTGGTGAGTGGACGTTAACCACGTGAATGTATTATTGCGCAGTATTGTCACTTTGACCCCCACCTTGCTTCCGTGGAAGAAATCGTTATGTTGCAAGTTGTGTCATGCAAAATCACTTTGGTCATGATTCTAATGCATATTTAACTAACTCGATGAAAACAAACCATTATCTCATTAATCCTTTAACAGACTTTTGGCCGTGGTGTCACGATTTTTAAAAATGGCGGCGCCCTGTCGCGAACATCCGCCAGTCTGAGGATAGATGCTGTTTAGGTTTGTTTTCACCGAGTTACAAAATCAAAACTGACTGACTGACTGAGTTTGGTTTTACGCCGCTTTTAGCAATATTCCAGCAACATCACGGCGGGGGACACCAGAAATGGGCTTAACACATTGTGCCCATGTGGGGATTCGAACCCGGGTCTTCCACGTGACGAGCCAACGCTTTAACCACTAGGCTACCCCACAACCCCACAAAATCAAAACTACCTTCTGCTGGTAGTAAAATGTGTATTTGACTGATGGCCAATAGGATTTTGCATGACATAGCTTATAACATAACAAGTGCTTTCGTGGAAGCGAGGTGAATGTCAATATAATACTACTTACAATAATATTGTCACTTCGACCACAACCTCGCTTCCGAGGAAGAAATCGTTATGCTACAAGTTGTGTCATGGGAATCTTTTTGTTCATCAATCATATACATATTTTAATACAACTGGTAAGTAGTTTTGATGCTTCAACTTCCGTGAAACGATCGAAACACAAGTAAGATATCGTTCCAGGCTTCCTAAACGCTTGCTTTGCTGACGTCAAGAAATCAGCAAAATGACGAGCTTGTTACACACTT